GCTCCCTTATCCACAAAGGATATCCACAGTATGTTTAATTTGGCAGATATTAATCATGAATTGCTTTTCCTGATACAACCCCAAAGTGCATTATGTCTCCTTCTGTGCCTGGGGCTGAACTAAGGACAGATGTGCTATTTGCCAATAACTGCTAATTTATTGCCAACACTATGCAAGCCAAGCAGCTGGGTCATTTACCATTATTGGTATAACATTTTAAAGTTAAGGGTGTCATGTCAGACATCAGCTTTATCAGTTTTTTATTCATAAGATTTATTTTGTTTTTTTGCAATCCACTTTGATAAAGTGACGTGTAAATCTGCACTTATTGACTAACTAGACTTAAACTTACGAACACCTGGTGCAACTGGTCTATGGATTCCATTTTGAGAGAATATATAAATAATAATCATTTCATGTGTGTCCAGTGTACATAATATCTGGTGACACTTTTCCATCACCACAACATGCAGACGTTGATCCCTTGTGTTGTCACACCTCTCTCTATTCAGTCCAGTCCATCCAGCCATCCTCTTCATCATCACAGCACACCACCTCAGCACCAGTCACACCACAGGAGGCAATAACATATGTAACATATGATATTTTTGTGTTTGTATTATTCAGTGTTTCCATCTTAAAATATGCTCCACAGATTCCAGTGTCTTCTTTATGCTCCACGGTTAACTCCTCATATAAAAGAGTTCAGTAATAACTCAGCTATTTTCCCTGGTGCGCATATAACTCCATGTAAACATTTTAACCCCTCTTCTCTTCTCTTCTCCCTCCTAGTCCAAACTCAAGAATTGTGAATATATGTTCTCATATAAGGTAAGCTTTCATATGGTTTTGGCATATGAAGCTTATGTCATTCATTATGCGTCTTCAAGCCTGTGCAACCTCGCTTTTCTCAGCTTGTGGGTCTCTGGCAGTCGTTCTTCCCCTTGAGAGGAGAACCAACAGAACATGTCACATTTGCATGATGGCTTTTGCCAGGTTTTTTCTAAACCTGGATTGCTGTACCTGGCTGACTTTAAAAGCTCCGTTTTGAGTATTTGAATTTATTGTTGGCGTGATATTGTGAGACTCTCTGTTTTGTAACCTGTAGCAGAAGTTAGGTGAGTAAAAGGTTTGCAAATCTTCTAACCTTTGTTGAGATATCAAGTGCATCATCTGAAGGGACTGAGAAACTCTATGCTATGAAGGCACTGACTGTGGCTGAACAACATCAAACACCAAAGAAAACATACTAAACTATATTTTATGTTTGGACCTGCCTGATGAGTGGTGTATGCATAAACGCAGCAGAAATTATATATACTGTATTTTGTAGGTTTTTGCTTGTTGCAGATGACTGGAGACATTATTCATTAATTTTTTTTTTGCAACGATTGCAGACCTGAATTGAAACATGTTGTGGAATCAGCTGTGCTTGTGCTTGTATGCTGTGGCCCAGTTCCATACTATGCACTAATACTGAGCAAATATGCAGGGTTTACGCTGCGTTCACGTAGTGAAAGTGACAAAATACTCGTCTCAATTTTCAGTGCTGTATTTGAGTGTGCAGAACTATTGTGCTTGTCCCTATTTTATGTCACATACAGTGCTGTGCAAAAGACTTGAGCCACCTGTATTTTCTTTCTATTTTGCTTCCAGGGAGCCAGACTTTCATGTAATATTTTTCAAGTGGTGTTGAGCATTTGGGAGAAAACTTTTAGATCAAATTTTGTACACCTAGGTGAAGTCAGTGACTTTGCATCTTGTGTCACAGATCACATCATTTAAAACTGCATGTACTAAAAGTCATGCATAGTCCACATTTGCTCTAATTAATAATTTTCTTCACTACAAATTACCAAATAAATGGATGAAATTCCAATCACCTGTATTTTGTGTTTAGTGATCATTATCAGAATGCAGTATCCTTTTATTGCTACTGTAATGATAGCATGCCTTTAAACTCTTGTATACTGTGCAGAAAGACATACAAAGACAGTGTATACTATGGAACTGGGACAAACTGGGTTGGCATTGCATTCAGAAGCCATCCTGAGCACCCTCTTTCCCTCTTTAGAGCTTGTGGTTCTCTCCATTGAGTTTTATTTGCTTTTCTCTGCTCACCCTATTGCCCTTCAGCTTTTCTCCTTCATCTTCCCCTCTCTATTTTTCACTCTCCACATATGTCTCTGTGCCTCACAGCAATATTCTAAGAGAGTTTTTCTCCCTGTCCCTTAGGAGGCTTCACCTTCTATGAACTCATGCAACGTGGAGTGCCCCTACATCTGATTGACAAGTATATGACCGAGTCGAAGGTTGTTGAGCAAGAGAAGTAAAAACTGAGCACAGTGCAATAAGACATTTTTGGCTTGCAAACATCTGATGCCACTAGTTACCCTGTTCTCTCAACTGCTGAGGTCAGCAGCCTGCAGGTGGATGGAGGGAAGATGGGACAGGTGGGTGGGTGTGAGGGAGGGTATACCAGTCCGGTGTGGTATGCTGTGTGCAGCTTTGGAGCTAGTTACCATAAGAAAAAAAAAAGCCAGTTCATCTTCTTTATCACTCTGTTATGTTTGAAAGACTCAGCTCAGATGCATGTTGGCAGTGTTTTGGTTCTAGCTTTAATAAGGAATTGTAGTGTGAAAAAAACAAGCTCATGGTGCACAACCAGTGACACACAGCTAGAGTATTTTCATGTGGATTTTTGTCAGGAGTGCTTTTTGAAGGTGGCTGATTACTTCCGGGCTCTGAAAGATTTAGTTTGATGTTTAAAGGGTGTCAGTGAACTAATACGTGGCAAGAAAAGTGAGAACAGACTTCAGTAATGTTGGACAAATGAATGTTTTCACTTTTCTGATATGAGTCACATTAACATTTCTCTTTTTCTGTTGAGTTAGTAAGACAATATAGAGATTTACACAAAGTCCATACATGTCATTAAACTTTTGAATTCTTGGATTCATACTGGACTGAGGTTTGATTGGGGTTAAAACATGTGTGCATGCCTTTACCTTTGTAATTACAACCTGTGGACAACAATAAAAGACACTTTAAAAAATAGTATGTCTGTTGTTGATTTCTGTACTCTTGTGTTGTAGGAATTAATCTTCTTTTCTAGTCTGTGACAGATTCACTGTGTAATTGACCTCATTAATTCATTTTAGTCATATTTATTTATTTTGCAAACCAGAAATAGCATGAGGGTTTATGGAATGAGTCATGTATGTGAGATCTGGAAAATATGTTCTGACATATGGAAGGTCTTATGTTTGAATATACTGACTTGACCATATAAACAGGGGGGTAGTTAAAGGAGACCTACTGTGGTGCTCAAAAGTTGACACAGAGTATTGACACAGGTATTGACACAGAATAACCCATTCTTTTAATGGCAAATCTCATAAAACCATAGTTTATTCACAATAGAATATAGAAAACATAAAATATTGAAACTGAGAAAATGTGCCATCTGAAGACGAAAAAAACCAAACACCCATTTTTATGGCAAAACAAATCTTAAAAAGCCGGGACAGGGCTATGTTTCACAATCTGCTTTTAAGAACAGTCTGAACACTGAAGAAAACAGTTGCTGGAGTTTTGGGAGAGGATTTATTCCCATGCATGTCTGATAAAGGCAAGCCTGGGTCTTTTCTGTTGTATTTTTCATTTCATTATGCTCCAAATGTCTGTAGGCCGGTTCAGCACCTGCTCTCATCTACTACAAAGCTCTGCTATTGTCTTAGATGCAGTATGTGGTTTAGCATTGTCTTGCTGAAAATCCAAGACCTTTTCTGAAAAGAAAAACTGTCTAGATGGGAGCATATGTTGTTCTAAAACCTGTATATACCTTTCCCCAGTGGAAACACCTGGGGAACACAGCTGATTAGAATCTAACTAATGAAACGAGGGAAAGCAAACTCGCCATAATGCATATGAGACAAGGGAGTCGAAGTAAATTAAAAACAGGAAGTAATGAAGACCCAGACTAAGACATGTGACGTTGACACAGGGAAAATGTAAACAAATGCCAAGGTGTGACTAACTGGGAAGAAAAGGCTATATAAAGGATATATAAATATATATATATATATAGAGAGAGAGAGATCATTATTTTTGTGAATAATTTTAATAAACAAACTTAGATCCAACAACCAAATGCAAGGGAAATTTATTAGGAGATTCATTTATTGTGAACCCAAACATATCATAAACAGTTACAGGAGGTATTCTTCAAATTAAGAGTATAGATATGACACAGGTATTTGTTACACCTGTTATAGTCAGTTATAGTCATGTAAACAATCCAATCTCTGTGAACATAAAGAATCAAATCCCTCTAATGCAGCAAATAAAACCCTTGAGTTAATAACTTAGAAACTATGATTATTAGCCCAAGTACCATAAACAGACCTAGAGAATGTAGGCTAATATTTCTGATTGTTTTTATCATTTGATGTGCGATCTATTTACAAATCCACACTTTTCAAAGCTTAGTAAAAACACAACTCATGTTTACCTTATTTTTTTCTTTTAAATTTATATTAGTTAATCTTTAAAAGAACAACATGATTCCAGGTGTTTTTTCTTCTAAAATTAACTATTAACTAAATTAAATAAATTTAACATTTTTTTTTTATCTAACTTAAGCTTTTAGTTTAGAACTAACAAAGTGAGCAAGAAGCACAAGGAGAACAGCTACACTAAGGCAGGTCAAATATGATATGATATTTTAAATGTTTGTGTGGTACTTTCTATATGTTAATGATACCACCTACACTTTTCATCGTTTCTAAGTTATAAGGCTTAACCTACATGAATGAGGTAATTATGGGCCTAAATGCATCTGCCAGTCATACAATATGTGCTTAGGTTTGCTTATATTTTAGCAAGTTTATGAGCCAACCAGATGGTTATTATCACAGTGTTATACACTCTTAGGCGCAGGCTATGTGCATTTAAACTTCCCGGTAGATAGCCACGTTATCCCTTCCGGACATTCGCTTCCTGCCGAGACGCACCTCGGCCAGAAACGTATAGACATCCACAGCGCTTGGTTCCGCTGTGAAAATGGCCTCTGCTGCTCGTCTACCCTAGACATACCAGATGAGCTGCTGCTGTCTCCTGGAGTCGGCCAACCCTGTCTGAAACACCACCCGGGAATATCAGGGAGTTTTTGCGGTACTCAGAGGAGTGACGAGGCAGAAAAATAATGCCACATTTCCTGTGGCCAGAGCCGTTGTCACCCGCTCAACTAAAGCGGCTGGAGGAGCATAAATACAGCGCCTCCGGTAGATCCCTATTTGAGCCGCCGTGTCAGATCTACTGGAACTGGCTCGTCCAGCAGATACCGACATGGATCGCACCAAATACACTGACTATTGTTGGACTGCTGGTTAATGTCCTCTCCACGTTGGTGCTTGTGTATTATTGTCCCACGGCAACAGAAGAGGTGAGTATAGCGACTGGGGCTAAAGTTTCAAATGTCTACCCATCTCTGCTATGAAAAGACCGTCCTCCATTTAGAAAATGCGTAGGCTAAAGATACACCGCAACCTGTAAGACCCAGATAGCTCAACAAATAGGATTGATTATATTTACTGAGTCCATTGGGGATACTTACTAATTCGGCAAACATTTGAGCTTCACAGCTGCTTGTATTTTAACGTCATATCTACCTTATAGATGGGGCCGTGGTGCTAGCTAACGCCGCAGGCGCTGTATTTTTAGGACTGTTCTGTAGTGTCAAACAGCTAAATTTAAATTTGGTAGTGTAAGCCGAAGTAAGCTTAGAGTCCGTCTCCAGGTTTTTCAGGAAAACCTTTTTTGCTCTTTTTTTAAACCCAAGCATGGCCACAAGCAAGCCGAGACGCTTTAAAGGGGGTTTTAATCGTATTAGGGACGACGTGGACAAGAATAACTGATATATCGGCGGTCATGTGACTTTAGAAAGTTGAAAGGCCTCATGTGACGCAGTGCTGTTTGTGTCAAAACAGCAATTTGTTTCATTGTTTCACTTAAGGCCACTATCTATCAGAGAAGAGGCGAATCATTTAGCAGCCATTTATTGGTAATTAAGAATTAAATTAAAAAAAAGGGGCGGGAGGGTGTCTAGCCCTTAACCAGACAAAAATATACTTATTTAAGTGAGTAAGCTGATTTTGAAACGCCTCTATATTATTCTGTAATCTAAGAATACTATAGAGAATGTGCCTTGCAGGTAGCAAGTTGACCTAGGGCACAGTAAACCTGTCTGTCCCTGCAGCAGTGGGTCCAGCTGCTCATGCACAGGTTGGTGAGTTAATCAGACTTGCGCCTTTGCTCGTTCTAACTATGACAACCTTGCACCTGAGTCAAAGTCCATGCACTCCCACTGACTCCACCAGTTTCATCTACTGTTATTATGCATTGATTGAGGCATACAGTGTACGCTTTTATTTATGGAGAGTTAAGAGTTAAGTCCCATCGCTGTGCAAACAAACACACATTCACAGGAATTCATCGGAGCCTATGGAAATGGGTCAGAGTTTTCCCTCAAGTTACTGCTGTGATAAACTTAAACAAGTAGTCCACAAGGCTTTTGGGACATGTGCTTCATCTCTGTTGAAACACACTCTTTTTTTGTGTGTGGTTCTCTCTCTCTCAGTCACAGGCTTGCACAAATGCGCTCTCTCTCTCTCTCTCTCTCTCTCTCTCTCTCTCTCTCTCTCTCTCTCTCTCACACACACACACACACACACACACACACACACACATTGTAGTTTTCCAAACATGCTATGTTGGCCAGCATTACTGTCCAGATGGTCCATAACCTCCACCCTAGTAAAGAGGAGCTGAACTGGTCTAGTCAGCTGGAGTCCCTCCTACTACACACTTCAGAGAGATGTAGCACATATGGCACATAAGTATTATTTAAATCCAACAGTGCACACGTGTATGAATTCAAAAGCTCCATAAAATCCAAAACAAACAACTTCTGAAAATCCAATACCTCAACAAGTTACACAACCCTCTCCTCCCCCCTCATATGAATAAGAATTAAAGTTGTGAAATACAGATATGATTAGTAGAGACCATCTTGTAATGTGGTCAACAACTGCAATTTTTAAGAATTATATGATTCTAGACCAAGGTGTTACAAATAAATGACAGATTGCAAAGGAAGTGGGGTGGGTCTAAAGTGGTCCCTTGGTCCCTGTGATTTTGCAGGGGGATTTTGCACAGATTAAAATTTGGCCTGTCTTATAAGAGCTCAATTGATTTGGACTCTAAGGCTGATTGGTAGTACTCAAGATCTTTGTGACTACATGAGAATGACTGAAATATTCACCAGTTACCCACATTTTCTTTAGCTCTACAACTATCTGTATTTTAAGTAGCTTAAATAGACCAATTAGGTGATTATCTGTGTTGTAAGAATGGGTGTGTAACTGTCAGTCTCCCTCTCTCGTCCCTTACCTGGCTTCAGGCTCCATCATGGGCTTTCATCCTGTCGGCTCTGGGGCTGTTCATCTACCAGTCTCTGGATGCTATTGATGGGAAACAGGCCAGGAGGACAAACAGCAGCTCAGCCCTTGGTGAGCTCTTCGACCACGGCTGTGATGCAGTCTCCACAGGTAATCTCCTAAACCCTGAAGCCTGCTGCGTTTGATTATAATAAACTGATTGTAGCATGTTAGTAAACAAAGCTTTGGCTTTAATTTCATTAACATGATTTTAATGTGCTTACCCCGGTGATTCTCTTTCAGTCTTTGTTGCTGTGGGAACGTGCATTTCATGTGGAATAGGACAATATCCAAACTGGACTTTCTTCTGTGGTTTTATTGGGATGTTTATGTTTTTCTGCGCCCACTGGCAGACCTATGTGTCCGGGACACTCCGCTTTGGCCTGTAAGTCAAATATTTATTTTAAATGTATTTTTCTTTTAATATAAGAAAATGGTCATTGTTATTAGTTTGCAACACTGAATGATAAAATAACTTGAAGACAGTAAGCTAATTTTCCTGGCAAGCCACTTGCACTGGCAGGTCAACATTACCCCAAAAACCGTTCAAGCCCCGTCCACATGCAAAGTGTTTAACTTGTCATGCATTGCTTTGCATGTGATAGTTGGTTGCTAGTGAACAGTCCAGGTTCCTGTTGCCTAAATAATCCTTCAGTGCATTTACCAACTCACATAGTCACGTGGGGAAAAAAGAGAGTTTCTAGGGCTCTAAGCAGTCCTTTGAAAAATTGAGTATACTCCATGATTCGGTAGCTTGTATAACCACCTTTAGCTTATTTTCCCCCTTTTTTTTATTCTGTGTGACCTCAGCAGTCTCTCACATTATTATGGCCCACTCTTCTTTACAATGATGCTTTAGTTCATTGAGATTTGTGGGCACTGGTTTATGCACATCTCTCTTTAGGTCCCACCGCAGCATTTCAATTAGGTTGAGGTCTGGACTTCGTCATTAGAACATTTTATACTCTTATTTATCAATCATTCTGTTTTAGATTTGCTGCTGTGCCTGGGATATTTGTCCTGTTGCATGACCCAGTTTGGCCTAAGCTTTAGCTGTCGGATAGATGGCCTTGTATTTAATGCTTTTGGTATACAGAGGAGTTCATGGCTCACTCAGTGATCACAGGTCCTGTGGCTACAAACCAGCCCAAACCATCACCCTTACACCACCATGCCTGACAGTTGGTATGAGGTGTATGTGTTCCCCTGGAAGAGGAGAAAAGACCCACAGCCCATGTTGAATGGCTTGTTTTATGAGAACATCTAATTGTAGGATCCGGTCACACAGTGGCATTTAAAAATGCTGCAGTACTGATGCTGTTGTTAAACCTTCGCACTGTCACTTATCTCACACTTCCCTCATATGTTCTGCACAGGGTTGATGTCACAGAGGTGCAATTCGCCATCATAATCATGTATGTGATGTCAGCTTTCGGAGGCGTGAGCCTTTGGCAGTACACGGTAACTGAGAATCCATTTCTTCACACTCACCTGCACAAATAGTGTACACACAGGGACACATCCATTTCACCTCAAGTGTATAGTCAAACCTTTTTCTCCTTAGTTTTTACACCAGACAAACTAACTGAATCACTTCTTAGGCTTTAGTTGTCATGCTAGTCTTTAAATAGAATTTGTGTTTTACTTTTACTCTGTGCTGCCTTTGGAGGCTTGACTTAACATCACATGAGAGAAGTGAGAAGGTAAATATGGGTAGCTAAAGCCATGGCAACAGGTCATCTACTGGACATGATCTGGCTCAAAAAGCTGATGATGTCGCCCGCATTTGTTTGTGTTTTATTTGGATATATTTATTTATTTGCTTTGCCCTCCCATCATGCTCAGCATGCTGCAGCTTTCATATAAGCACTTTTCTATTTTATAAGGAGAATGCTTCTTGTTTTCTCTTTATTTTGACCTCAATGTGTTCCCATAGTTGCCCATCATCGGACTGAAGCTGTATGCCTTCCCCGTCATGGGCATCATCGGGGGAGCCCTGTACTCCTGTTACAACTATTTCTATGTCATTTTGAATGGAGGGGTTGGCAAAAATGGCTCCACTGTGGCTGTAAGTTGTAAATACAGCATTATTTTAATATTTTAAAAAAATGTGTAAAGCGCAAAAACTAATCAATGTTTCTGCTCTTCAGGACACCAGCGTGCTGAGTCCCGGTTTGCACATCAGCCTCATCCTTACACTGGCCTTCATCATTTTCAAGAAGTCATCCAGCCACCTGTTTGAGCACCACCCCTGTTTGTACCTGCTCACCTTTGGAATGGTTATCGCCAAGATTTCCAACAAGCTGGTGGTACGTTGGTGTTCTCTTAATTGCCTGAATGAACTGTCACATATCTTCTTTTGTCTGTTTTAACCCATCGTTTAACCCAGTGTTTAACCTGCGTTTTCTTTCTTTCTTGAATCTTCTCTGTAGATGGCACACATGACCAAGAGTGAGTTATACCTACCAGACCCAGCCTTTATTGGGCCTGGCCTCCTATTCCTCAACCAGTACTTTAACAGCTTCATTGACGAACACATAGTCCTCTGGATCGCCATGGTTAGTACTGATCTCACAGGTGTCTTTGTTTAAAATGCAGCCCCACCCTTTTTGTCACCTCTAAGTAGCCACATTCTTTGCTCTTCTACCTGTATGTGTATATAGTTAATGCCTTAAATTATTTTCCTTGCATACTTTATTTAGTTGAGAGCTTTTCATTATAATGATAACAATAGAGAAATAAGATTGGAGCGTAGTGCCTTGATATACTTGTAGGACTTGTCAGCGTTGATGACTAATACGCACACAGTTAAATCAACTTCTCATAAGCACAGCGGCTTTCATTTCTGTCTGTGGGACTCTTATCTCTGCTAGTTGCCATCTAATCATTATAGTTGTGGTTCAAAGAGCACAAAGTTTCTACAATGAAAGTGAGATGACTTGTGATAAACCTTCCTTTGACACCCATGACTCGTGTTGTATCTCACACGCTGTTGCAAACCCCTACAGGGTTTCCAGCTGATCAGCTTTGAAAGGATAAATACAGTTTAAAAACGTTACACTTCAAAAGAACTTTACAGCCATGTTCTCTGCTATAAATGGTAATCTTTTGTCAGTGTGACGGCCGAGATGGTGCGCTGATATTCACTCAGAGTCAACAAATATATTAATAGCTGATGGGAAACCACCATTTGAATTTGGAGCCAGCGTAGGTGTGCAAACACGTTTTCCTCATTTGACACTGACATGCCACACTAGGGAGGGCAAAAGTATTACTAATGTCAGTAATCACATCCCGGTATTACAGATTCTGGCTTACTGGTTTTCCTTATAGCAATACTTATTGTCCATCTAAACATGCGTGTTAGGATCATTTCATAAATAATAGCCATCCATGACAACAAGAAAATATGTGATTGCATAAACAGGAAGCAGGAAGTTGGTTACTTACCGTAGTTTTCAAAGTGTGTGTCAGTCCTTCAGCCCTCAACAACCAGAAGCTTGTGCGTGTCTCGGGGTATGGCAGTGATCTGCTTTACTTTTTAAATGGAGGAAAGGAAATTGCTGCAAAACTAAAGATTTCCATGTAAATTACTTCCTTGCTGTATCCAGTGGCTGTTCTTGTATCATCCTTTGTGGTACCATTTAATGATGCTGTCTGTTAGGGACCTGTATTGCATCTGAAATTAGTATATCACCTAACATAGTACGTCTTTATTATTTTTGCTCCAGGTCCTCTCCAGTGTGGATTTGATACGCTACTGCACGGGCGTGTGCCTCCAGATCGCCTCCCACCTGCGCATCCACGTCTTTAGCATCACAACGCCGAGCCAGCTGCACCGCGACTGACGGTTTGCCCGGCGGGAGGAGGCGGGAGGGGACGCAGATCTCTTCCCGCTCCTGAAAGCAGACAGCGACCACGATGACGAGGAGAAACCCTCGACCTCGAGCCACTGCAGCCTTGACAAAGTAACCACTTCAGATTAAAACTCACACCTACTAAAAGGAAAGATAAAACTACCGTGATACAAAAAAGAAGGGAAAAAAAACAACCAAGCATGGATCTGTTGAATGAAAAATTAACCCAAGTTTCCCTTGAAAACCCAGTTGCCTGATGAAGTCTTTCAGATTTTAATTTCAAGGTAAATGCATGTTGTTAGATTTAATTTTTTGAACATCATTTGGCACTTCCAGCTTATTCAACACAAAATACCAAAAAAAAAAAAAATCTTTTAATAGGTATTTTTTTAGCTTGGGCAAATATCAAAGCATTTAAGTGAGCTTTAAATATGGAGACATGTTCCTCATGGATTGTTGTACAATTAACTAAACACATAAATATGACAATCACGAGTGACAATTTAAGTAAAATTTCTTTGATATCTGCTGAATCGGAATCAAATACCTGTTAAGAGTTTTCTTAATGACTTGTTTTAATTTGTTAAATGAAATAAGACTGAATTTGATACAAATTAGGGCTTTAAAGAAACTTTTTTTTAAATAAACTTATAGACCTTAAAATAATTTCCAATAAGGTTTCCAATTTGGACCGGCAGGTTGTCAGCGAGCTGCATCGAAGGGTAACGATCGTGTGTTAATGCTGAAAATGATGACGTGTCTAAAGTTAGGCCGATCTCACAAACCCCACTGCAGTTGTTTGTTTTTTTTTTATTTTGTTTCGACTCATCTCATCCTGCAGTCGTGGAAAACAATCCTTAAAAACATCTTCTCCGGCCTCTGGAGCACCGTCGACCGATGAAGCGTCAACACTCGGCTTGTTCTGCTTTCTCTGTTCTTCTCCCTGAAGGGCTAATGATTTTGTGTGATTGTACAGAATTGAACTGAAGATGCCTTAAATATTTTTGTTGTAATTACTGTTTAACTTGTGAATATTTAAAGCAGCTTTGTACATTTTTTTTTCACTCAGTATCACACCAGATACAGTAATAATAGAACACTATCCTGGAAGTTTTTTTTGTTTGTTTTTTTTAACTATTCACTCATGTTCATTTATGCATAATTATGTATATGTGACCGATTTCTTTTTTTAATTAAGTTTTGTTGGATTATTAGTAATTGTGTAGTGAATCTCAATGAAGGGTTGTAATCAGAATGAAACATCATTCAGGATCATTTGGGTAAAAAGGGACATTTCTGTAGAGCCGGTAAAAGATTTGAGGGCGTGTATTTTTTATTTTATTTTGAAAATTGCCATTGTCGTCCCCTTACATTCTGACACTATACTCCTGTCTCGAGAAGTTTATTTATGGATGGACTTTAGAGCTATGCATTTCAAAGGTACAACCATGGTTCAAAATCACTTTGTTGCACTGTAATGCAGTGAAACACCTTTCTACTAACAGACATGAGTGGAAAAGATTGTAATAAAGAAAATATTTTTCATCCATTTTGATTGTTCCTGTCATTGGTGGAAAAAAGTACTGCAACACTACCTTGTAAAAATACTGCAAAGTGACTCAGGCTTTGAACACAGCATAGTTTTTGGTTTCCCAGATGAGCTGGTCTGATCTAAGGAGGATTTTCTCAAAGCCATCTTGAGTTTCCAGAGAATGGTCAGCAAAAAATAAAACGTATGCCTTGTTGATGTCAGAGAAGAACAGCATGTCCACCCTTCATGACCTCACTGTAGCCATCTTCTGATGACAGCTTCCAGCAGGAATACACATCTCTTAATGTTTAGATTATTTCAAACTGTTTCTTGAACATGACAATAAAAAAAAAAAAAACACCAGCTATCATATCTCAACCAAGTAGTGCACTAAGGGGTTTGGTGGAACGGGAGATTCACATCACAGGTATACAGCCAACAACCATGCCATGTTGAAAGTCCCTTAAACATGCCTGTAAAGGTAAATTTATTGACGTCTGAAATCTGACGAGCCCTGATTATTAGTCTGAGGTGAGGAATTGAGGAATAAAATTGTAGTAAGTGTGGAAAGAGTAATGTGAACAGTACTGACAAAAACACCAAGCTGACCGAACCAAATCACATTTATTTCTGTTAAACCAACGAAACTGGTGCAATTAGAGTAAATTCATCTTCCAAATATGGCTCTCAGCGTCTCATCTGCTGACACACACCCTATGAACCCAGAGCACAGTGGCAAAATGCTGACAGCTGCTAGTGCTCATTTCCATTTTTGTCACTATAATAAGAAACACTATAAAACTGGCGTTCAGAGGAAAACACTTGCGTATCGTTTACATTCTAGAACTCAAATCGGCTGTGTCAGTCACGGGGCTCACTGTCACAACAATACAATCAAAATAAGTTAGAGAACATGCTGAGGTGGTCTGAATTTCAGACAGCAGCGAGCCTGCTGAGTCCCACAGGGACACACGTACAGGCAGCTTTGAAAGCTGTAGTATTACTTCTAATATAGCTCCACCAATCACTTACATTTGTACCACGCAGAGAATTATATTCATATTATCCTGCATCCCATTCATTCTTACTGTAAACCACAAGATTAGAGTAAGATATCATTAGCATTTACAAGAAGACCTTTTAAAATCCCAAAGGGAGATTAACAAAAACATTTAAACAAGCAGGAATGAACAACGAAGGCACTAAAAGTTTTCTTGTTTCAAATATGGCAGACGAAGATATGGCGTCCAACACTTTAATCACCTATTCCTATTTGTCCTATATGTATAAATTTGATCCTCAATCTTTTTAAAATTAGCTATAACATAAACACAAAAGAACTAGAAGTAATGACTGTGTTGATTATCATTTGACTCTATGAGTCTGTCAGCATCCCAGCAACAAAGGCAGCATTCTCAAACACAAACAAAACCCTCCAAAAACTTACAGTGATATAAAACAGATTAAAAAACAGTAAAGAGACTTTTACCACCAGATTTAACTGACTAACCAACCAAACAAACAAACAAAAAAACCTTTAAATTTGTCTCGACAGACACTGACATGCTGATATCAAGTGTTTCCCACTTTAACAGAATACTAATCAGTGGCATGCTGAGGGCAGGACGTGAGGAGGGTGGTGCAGGGTGGAAGGAGTGTTGCTTGTTCGTGGTGTGTAAAAAGTCTCGGGTGCCTCCAGTGGAAGAGAAGAAGATTTATGAGCTCCTCCTGTCTGGCTGCTATTCTCCTCACCGGCCAGCCCTGTCTATCATCTTCTGAAAAATGTTTCATTAACATTTCACACGAGTCTCTCCTCAAATCCACGGTGATGCAATTCTGCGCCGAGGATCTTGGATTGCTTTTTCCAGCTGGCTTGCATCCTTCTCCTGTGCTCACTGTGGAGGTGGAGAGGAGGCGCCGAGGCTGTTGTTCAATAAAATGAAGAGAGGGAAGTCTTCCGCTTTCACACCCGCTCCGGGTTGCTTTCCCGGTTCATCCTGCGTCTGGGGAACAGCTTTCGCTTCAGCAGGATGAGCTGCAGGAACAGGGGAAAGAGGAAATGTCACTACTAAACCTGCAGAACAACTGATTGAATATGAAAGGGGTGGCAATAAAGGTCATTAACTTCCTTCTGTACAGACGAGGACAGAGAGATCTATCTATCCAATCTATAATGCACCTAATTAAATGATCATCAGCAAATGTGAGCACCTCTATAAAAGCAAAGAAAAGGTCAAGGCAGTTTGCAGGTCTGGCAAATTCAGGTGTGAATATATTGCCGCAATCTTCCCAGGAGTGGTTGTCAAAGCAAATTCACTCCAAGATCAGACCATGTGATTCATGGAGAAACTACAAAACCCCCGAAATCTACATCTTAGACTCTACAGGCATCAGTTAGCATGTTAAATGTTAAAGTTCATCACAGCAGAATTAGAAAAACACTGAGTAAGTATGGCTTGTTATTCAGTCTTAAAGAACATGACAGCACAGCTTAGGTTTGCAAAGTCGAACAAACCACAAATTATAGATATTTGGCTATAATGCACAGCACCGTGTCAGGAGAAAACCAAACACAGCACAAACACCTAATGCCAATTGTCAGTACGGTGGCGGAGAGGTAGTCATTTGTGCTCGTTTTGTGACCACAGAACCTGGGCACCTTGGAGGCATAGAGCCAACCATGAACTCTTCTGTATAACAAAGTATTCTAGAGTCAAGTGTGAGGCCTAAAGTTAAAGCTTGGCCCAAACTGCGTCAGGAACAGCAGTAAATCTACAGCACAAAGGCTGAAAAAGGGAAGAATGAACCTCAACCTGGTTTAAATGCTGTGCAGAGACCTTAAGAGAGCTGTGCATGAATTAATGCCAATTCCTCAGCAATATATGTGAGACTGGGAAAGTCATACAGAAAATATCTAGCTCAAGTTATTGCTGCCAAATGCATATCTATTGTATCTAAAATAAGATTTTTCTTTATTAAAAATAGGAAAACACGACTTTTAAATCACGGCACTGGAAATTGCTGTCATTTCATTTTTCACGACTGTCAATAGGATACAGTGTGTGTGTGGTAAAGCAAAGGTTTATAAATCAGAAGGTCGGCAGTTTGACTCCACGTCTCGACCTCCTCATTGGCACCATTTTTCATTTGTTTTTTTAGCAACAGCAAATGGTTATAAGTGACATCAATGTTCTCATGTAACTGTGCCCAGACTGCAAGTATATTTCCCAAAATGTCAAACTATTAATTTCACCAATCAAGGCTTTGATACCAGAGTCCCCTCAGATGTTTGTAACTCAAGAAAGCAAAGATAATCTTAGACATGGAGCAGCCGAGTAAAATCACCTCCCTCTGAGGAGTGAAGACACATTTAATCTCTCCAATCTAAACTCTGACATAAACAGAAGGGCAGCCAGATTCAGATAGTGCCAGAAAGACATCAAAAGTCAGTCTGTGTACAGTGACAACGACACAAGACAAGTGTGACACACTGGTCCCGTGGGTTTCTGTGAAGGAAATTCTCCTAAGGTCACTGCAACTATTAACCTTTCTTTTAGTTCGCTGAGGAGAAACTGGAAACCTCTGGATTAGGAAGGTACCTCAGAACAGTCGACTAGTATATGTTAAACAACTCGCGGCATTTGTTTTAAA